CAAAAATTCTTTCAACGTACTACACCAAATACATCCAAATATACAATTATGCAACATAAAGTAAATATGAGCTTTAATATAAAATATATATATATATAAGGTTTGTAAAAAAAATGCTATGCAAATGCATGTTGATATGCATTATTTATTATTACTCACTGCGATGGAGAGCGAAGTTCTAGCTTTGATTCTGTCCTGGAGGAGCACTAGATGGACCCGGGCGATTTAAGCAAAGTAAGAACGACACAAAAGAAAATAATTCTATCAGACAAAATATTTCTTTACCACTCTAAGAATTTTATTTTATATTCTAAATTTTTCTATTCTAAATTTTTTTACGGTAATTAAATCTCAAATTTTTAATTTCTTTTCTATACTAAAATTTTATTTTTCTATCTAACTCTATTTTTATTTATTTTCATTCTAAAATCTATTTATTTTATACCGAATTTATTTTATTATTTTTTTTTCTACCGAAATTCAGTCGGCAGCATCTCCCCTAAAAATTGGGGGGGACTATCCACCTGTTAAAATAATTCAACAATATTATCTAATTATTGCCAAATCACACGCCCAATCCATCGGGCAATTAATCAAATAACCATTTTTCCCATCCTCCTTCACCTCCATCAATCTCAACATCACCACACAATCCAAATCATACATTACAATAACATTATACTTAAATTATCTTAATTAAATCAACACTAAAATTATAAAACCATTAACTACTCACATTTATCAAATTAAATTAATTACACTAATTCACTACAAAATAATAGGTTTAATTTAATTAACTAATCATCACTAACATTAACTTAACTAAACTTAAGTAAACTCATTAATTACAAATAATAAAATTAAATTCATTAACTAATATTACTACATTAATTAACTACAATTAATAAACTTAATTTAATTAACTATTACTATTAACCTTAACTAAATCAACTAACATTATTAAATTTAAACTAACTAAATTTAATTTAACTAATTAATTACTTAACACTAATTACTAACACTAACACTAACACTAACTCTTAATAAATAAATCAGTTAATTTCATTCACTAAATTTTAAATTATACCAATTTATAGTGCTTGCCGGATTGACGATTAACGGAAATGGGCTGGTGGCCGGAGTCGACTGGCAGCGTGGAGAGAGGCGGAGCAGCAGGTACGGTGGTGGCGCGACCAAGTGAAGGCTGTGCTGCTGCCGTGCGCTGCGCGATTCTTGGCGAGGCACGCTTGCTGGCAGTGGCGCGCGAGTGAGCTGGCGTTGAGCTGCTTGCTGTCTCGCAGGGACCACAGGCGCAGTGAGGAAAAGGAGGAAGAAGAAAGAAGGGAAGAAGGAGAGAAGGAAGAAGGAAGAAGAAGAGAGGAGAGGAAAATGGTGGCTGTGTGTTGGTGCATGTTCGCCGGAAAGTGGAGATGTGCTGCTTGAGGGGATGAGTTTAGCGTATGGAGTTAAAAGGAAAAAGGGAAGTTTCCTAGATGGTTTGGGTTTGAACCGGTTTCGATTCGGTTCGGTTCGGCCCAATCTCGGTTTCCAATGGTTTACGGGGTTTTTCAAACGATTTTTGATCGGGTTTCTCACCAGTGTTCGCATTAAAATATTGAATAAATTTCCAGGCTGTCAGTTTTCGCATTAAAATATTGAAATAAATTTCCAGGCTGTCAGTTTATTAAATTTAATTGGAAAATCTTTGAAAATAAAAATTCGGGTTGTTTCAATTATGCGCACAGATTAAACTCACCAAGAAGCTTATGCTTAGCATTTATGTGTTTACATATAGTGAAATTTACTCATAATTCTAATAAATCCTTAATGGAGAAAAATTTCCCTCCAAATAACTGTGCTTAAATAAAAATAATTGTATTTGTTTATATTTACTCTGATGAACTCCTTTAAAGAGAGAGATATAAAACCTAAACCCTAATTTCACTGCTTAAATAAAAATAGTTGTGCGCATTTTTACATTATGTCAAATTCTATAAATTGGTTTTAGTGGGTATAGATAAACTGTTTGCAACTTTATGGATACTAAAAGCATTTAACTCGCGCTTTTTAGTTTCAGAACACAGTAACATACAAATTGTATTTTTCACATCTTAAGTAATGTTTTTCCTTTATTGCCTTTTTCGAGCCTCTTTAGTAACATTAATTGGATGTGGAGTGGTCTTAAATTCTACATAAGGTGGTTATTCAGCAGATGGCAAGGAGATCAAGTCTAACGGTTGATTATTGAGTATAAGTACATCTTTCGAAGTTTCAAGCAAATGTTGAGGTACTGTATTTTAATCAAAAGAAAGGACTATATTCGTGACGTTTGTAGATTAAATTTTAGAGTTGTGAAATCATCTTTATTTAGATGAATTCAGCTTTGAAAATTTTGGCTCCAAATTTTATTTTTTTATGCAGAAATTCGGAGAAGTAAAATAAAGAATTTGAGGTTAAAAATTTTGGCTCTAAACTTTCTTTTAACTTTCATGCCAATTTTTTTTTTTATATTGAAATTTAATGCGCAATTGCAATTAAACAACCATTTTTTGTTATTAAAAGTCTAAATAAATAAAACATCTTGTTTAAGCAACAGATCATCTCTCTCATCATTTATCACTTTTTGTTGAAAATTAGGGACCACTTTAATATCTTTCAGGGATAAATTCGTAAGAAATTCATAAAAGACCATCTCTTTAATCCTAAAGAAATTTTGACTTTCCCTACACGACATAAATAGAACAGAACGGAGAGAGTAGTTTACTTGAAGTGGATATGGCAATGGACAGCAACGCTCGACAAATAAATGCTAAATGATGGATGGTTACACTGTTTGCTCTTATAATTTGGGAGATGATCACTTTTAAAGAAAATCTCAAATTATCTTTCAAATTATCTTTCAAATTTTTATTACTTCTATTTTTCAACCAAATGAACTCATTCGTTTTTCCAAAATAATAATAATAATAATAGTAATAATAAACTAACCAATCATTGGAAATGATGAACATCAGCTAGCGCCAGTGATCACTTTAGATTTGGGCAACGACAGAACAGGTTTCTCTCTTGTTTTTGATAATTGACAAAAATTAGATTCAATTAAGGCAAGCATAGAAGTAGTTTGCTAATTGAACCATAAAATTAATTTTAAATCTGATCGGATTATTTAAAAGAAGAAAAAACGTTCAAAAATGTATATTATCATTTCGAAATGGGAGAAGTCCGACCCGTCGTTTGGACTTTTCGTAAATATGGTTTAACATAATTCTTTTGTTGACAGTGTATATACTTTACCTACACTTTGCACTTCTTATTCCTTTATCTTTGTCATGGCAATAACCATGAGGATTGCATACTTGCTTTTACCTAAGCCACGTTCTTGTGGCGATGATTTTTTGTAAATACCATTCATTCGAATTGACATGAGAATCCAATTACATTGCATTGCCAAAATTTATATTATATATTTAAAAGAGATATTTTCATTGATTTTATTGATAAAATTTACCCGAAACTATATTCTATTCTTTTTAATTCAAATTTATTATACGTGCACTTATCATTAGATAATGTTTTAGTTTGCTATAACTATATTTACAATTTAAAGAAATCTTCGTCTGTCAATCTTCTAAAATATGATTTTTTTTTAGTGTAGTGCAGCAAAAAAAAAAAAAAAAAAAAAAAAAATGATAGTAGGCTAATTTCCAAGCTATGTTTTGTTTACTATACTAGGGAAAATTTCGGTACAATATAATTGAAAGTATATTCTTCAATATTCACATTATATATTTCTTGACCAATGGTGAAGTACATTGGTCAACCTTTCTCCTTTATTTATATATATATTATTATATATATTATATATAACCCTAAGGAGATCAAGAGAAGGAAAGGGTCAGTATATTCTTTTAGCCAACCAAACACCAACAGGCACAATTGACCTTTCTTAAGCTTATAGTTTCGTTTTCACGTGACAATTTCCTTTATAGTTTAGGTGTTGAGTGGAATGAATTTGCAAACAAAAGCACGTTGTCAAATGTTATTATACTTATAAATCAAATATATATAACCCTAAGGAGGATCAAGAGAAGAATGGGTCAGTATATTCTTTAGCCACCAACACCAAGAGGCAGCAATTGACCTTTCTTAAGCTTATAGTTCGTTTTCACGTGACAATTTCCTTATAGTTTAGGTATTGGTGAATGAATTTGCAAGACAAAAGCACGTGTCAAATGTTATTATACTTATAAATCAAACTCCAAAAAAGGAGGCGATGGAGTTAGTCAGTTAGGTGTCTCTAATGGACTTTGAAGGGCTGCTTTTCTGTTTGGTGTTCTTACAGTTAATCTGTGGGGCTTGGGTTAGAGGTTAGGAGGGTTTGGTTTGGTCCCTTAAGCTTCATGGAAGGGTTGTTTAGGAGAAAAGGGAAACAAAATTTAAAAAAGGGTTGTTGAGAAAAAAAGAAATGTTTTTCTACATTTCAAGGTGTTGAAGTATGACCAAATTTCATGGCTCATATAATTTAAATTTTCAATTATTATACTGAAGATGTGAATTATAATTTAATTGTAACTCAAATTTTCTTTGTAAAGAAAATAAATTAGCTAGATTTTGTGTAATTATTTAGACTTTTTATAGATCACAGATTCACAGTCAAAAAGGGAAGGCTAATTAAAAATAATTTTTGATTTATAGCTCATTTTCTTTTTCTTTTTTTTTTTAGAAGTAGCTTAAAATCATTTCTTTTTTTGAGGGGAGCTTAAAATAATTTTAAAATACTGTTTACAGCATACTAATATTTTCAAATTGATTTCAGGATAGAATCCCATTTTTAATTAAAAAAATCTTTCATTTCTCTAACATAGAAAAGGCAAATTTCATTTCTCTAACATAGAAAAGGCAAATCTAATCTATGAGGTAAAAAAATATAAACACAAACAAAAAGCAAATCTTTATATTCTTAAAATCAAAATCACATATAAAAACAAAAAAAAAAAAAAATGAAAATCCAATTTCACGATCATTCATAAATGAAAAGCACCCACCAATTTTCCCTCTGTTTGCCAACTGGAGAAAGAAAAGAAACTTGTCATCGCATTTTTCTCATAGCAGCGCATCTATAAGACAACTCCATTCGATTTCTTCTATATTCGATGATTCTACACGTACCCATTTAACTAATTTACACTTCACTTTGTCTTTGAATCGACATGGACGTGTAGCTTAGTGTATTTCACTTCCCATTTTCTTCTCCGCCACCTTTTCTCGTAATAAACTCTCCCCATTCTTTTCACTTTCCTTTCTGTTCCTCGGATTCTCCGCTTAGCGCCTATATAACCAGGTGAAATTCTCTTATCCCATTTTTTTATATTGTCTAAAGCTTGCTTCTTTCTAATATTTTCTTTATTCTTGCTGATTTTTATTTTCTGGCTTGCTTCGTTTAAGGTAATTTGTTTGTTATATCTTTTTTTTCTTTTTGCTTATATATATATATTTTTCTTTTCACACATTAGTGGCTGGCCTTTTATTTATCCTAATTTGAGATTTTGACGGGACATGGACTTCGGATTCGCCAATTTTGACCACTTTCTGTTTGTAAAAATAGCAGCAATCTGCAAATACAGATCCGTGTTTGTGATTAGTGTTGATTTTATTTGAGATAAAAGCTTCTTTAAATTTCCTTACTTTTTAAATACATTCTTCATTGCTTTCTCTAGCGCTTTTGACCTTGAGAAAGGAATGTGCTCTATTTTGTTTTTTTAATGCTCAGTGAGCTACCGTAGATTTTGTACATGGTGCCTTATTCTTATTATCTTTGATTGAAGTAGGTGTTTCTTGTAAAATGGATCAATAAATCCATTTGTCTAATTTGTGCCCTTACATTCGTTACTTGTTTCTTGAATTTGCAGAATGGCGGGTGCTGTGTTTCACCAAGGTATAGGGAGACTTCAATCTTATCAACATTTCCATAACTCTGGATTTCATCAAGAGGTTGGAAATGTTTCAGTCAAATCCATATCAAAAGGTTTTCATGTTGATATTGGATGGTCAGTGTCAAGAAAAAGGGGTTATAGATCTTGCAGGACGAGTTTCACTGTTGTTCGAGCTACTGCTTCGCAAACTTCAGTGGTTGATCCAGTTTCAACCCCCTCACATGACAGGACCAATGAACATCCAAAAAAATCAAGTAATTTAATTTATTTCTAATTCTTGTTTCACATCTAGTTTTTGACAGTGCAGATTTGTATTATTTGTTCAAACCAGTACTAAAGAGGCTCTCCAAATGAAATTGTGACATATATATTTGCTACCTCCAGAACTGATTACTTAAGTTTCCCCCTTTATATGAAATTTTCTAATCATTGTATACTAATCTAATTCAGGTGAGGCAGCTCTTATACTGATAAGGCATGGTGAGTCATTATGGAATGAAAAAAACCTGTTCACAGGTTGTGTCGATGTGCCATTAACAAAGAAGGGTGTGGAAGAGGCAATTGAAGCTGGTAAGAGAATCAGCAACATACCTGTAGATATGATATATACATCGTCATTGATTCGTGCACAGATGACTGCTATGCTTGCCATGACCCAACACCGTCGGCGAAAGGTAATTTGTTGAAAATTGAAAGTCCTAATTAGGTGTAAGAAAAGGTTCAGTATATGGGTTCATATTTTAGAAGCTAGTAATATATCAACTAATGATACTAGTCATTTGCTGCCTTCTTTAATCGAGTAGAACCTATGTTAGTGATTATTGGTACAATATTAAATTAGGCTAAGCACATCTGAAACTCATTCATACACAAGTGCAGTAATGCAAATTAATAATGTGAACTTTATCCAAAAGTTAATATTTTTTGATGATCCTGAAGAATTTGTGTCCAATTTTTTCTTTATTTGCTAACCTGTTAATGAACTGGCAACAGGTGCCAATCATTTTGCACAATGAAAGTGAACAGGCAAGGTCATGGAGTCAAATATTTAGTGAGGACACAAAAAAGCAATCCATTCCAGTTATAACAGCTTGGCAATTAAATGAAAGAATGTAATCATATAGATTCTACTCTTACCTATTTGCTTGTAATTCTGAGGCCTTGAAAAAACTAGTTCTTATTATAAAACTTACAATTTGGCTTCTTCTATAGGTATGGGGAATTACAAGGTCTGAATAAGCAGGAAACGGCAGATAGATTTGGGAAGGAAAAAGTTCATGAGTGGCGCCGAAGTTATGACATACCTCCACCTAATGGTGAGAGTTTGGAAATGTGTGCTGAACGAGCCGTTGCTTATTTTGAAGATGAGGTATACATGAATGTGGTTTCCATTTCCTGTCTCTTATGATTCATTTGACCTCAATTTGGCATTGGTTTTATAGATTAAAGTAATTATATAGCATTGATTAGTATCTGACTGCTGAGACATTGCACTGCAGATTGAACCACAACTCCTTTCAGGGAAGAATATAATGATTGCGGCCCATGGGAATTCACTGAGGTCCATCATCATGTACCTTGACAAATTAACTTCCCAGGAGGTAATCAGCTATTATGATATAGCAGTTTTAACCATCTTTATAGTCTCTCCTTTTGCTTTATATATCAAGTTAGTTTTCACTATTTTTATTTTTCTGGCAGGTTATAAGTTTAGAACTATCAACAGGAATACCTATGCTTTACATATTCAAAGAGGGTAGGTTCATCCGAAGAGGGAGCCCTGTAGGACCAACTGAGGCTGGGGTCTATGCATATACTAGGGTGTGTAATTTCTTTTCATTTTTTATTCTCTCTCTTCAGAATCACAGATTCTCAATTTCTAAAGCTTACATTTTCTTACTCATCAACATTTGTAGATGCACTTACGATCTGTTTAGTAGTTAAAAATGAAGTTTTGACTTGTCTCCTTCCACCCCTTCTCCTTTTTCCACCTGCCTTTCTATTAGAGTTGTGACATTGATAATATCGTATTAAATCTATCAGCCAGTCAAGTTACTGATAATATCGTATTACATCTATCAGCCAGTCAAGTTTCGCGTTTATGATAAATGCATGACTTAGTTTTATTGATGGATTTGAAAATTTTTGGCGTGGCAATATTTTTTTCTGCCCTTTCATATTTAAATTTTGAAAACACTACAGAGTTCTTTTGACCAGAAAAGGAATGAGAACCACTAGTAGTTTCAAATTCTATGAACAACCTTGGCCATATATGGGCTTGTTTCAAGTTAATAGGAGATTCTTTAGGACTCACGGTTGAAATAAAATACTCTCAGCGGTGAACAAGTGGACAGTAGAATATTTGTATACCTTATGATACAAACAGACTTGTGCTTCTGACGGTGGAAACTGCAAAGTCTTGCAAAATGCTACTTTTTAGAAAGTATTCACTAATGAATATAATTACAATGATTTTAGAATTCGTAGTTTCTTGAAATAAATCATTAGGATTGAAATCAAAATTTGCTAGATTAACAATGAAAATCAACTCAGTATGTTAGTTTATCTATTCTACTGGTCAAGAACTATGTTTCTGCTAAGGTGGTTGTGACATTGAGATTGCAGCTCTCACCTTCATCACAAAATAATAAATGAAAGCACCAACTCAATGTTGCTGTAACCTTCTCCTATTTATTTTTTTTTGTTTTTCCTTCTTTTTTTTTTTTCCTTTACCTGGTTTTTTCTCCTTTACGTAATAACAATACTGGTACTTTTACTGTATTGCTGCAGAGATTAGCTCAATACAGGCAGAAGTTAGATGAGATGTTGCATTAAGATATCCAAGAATTGGTAAGCTTTAATTGTTTCTTGTTATCTACAAACTACAGCTTCAACCTGATTTAATGTTACGCCTTTTTGGTTCCAACTCCTTAAACAATTTCGAACATTTTCCTCTTCAGGGGGCTACCTACAATTGCATCACAATCTCCATGCTGTTAGTCCTCATAAACCTAAAGAAGAAAATGAAGGGTAGATATGCGTTGCGGCAAATGTTCTGAACAACTAGAAAGTTGCTACTGCATTTTGTGTAACTTGCGTGTTGGGTCAGTCAAGTCTTGTTTAGAGTCCTTGGCCGTGTTTCCTCTCAGGCTATTATGTAGGTGCCTGGGAAATTCTGTTGTTCTTCAAATCTTGTAAAAGATGTATTTGAATAAATAAGAGCATAGTTCATATAAGATGTTCCGCTTCCTAGTTATTACAAATTTGATAAAAGTGATACACGAGTAGTTTTTTCTCTCGTTATGTTAATTGTTCTTTCTAGCAAAGCCATTAATGAATCCACTGCAATGAAAAGTGAACCAGTTTTTCTTCACGTAAATGACCAATATGTTGTTACAGTTTTTCTTTATTCAAAGCTTTTCTGTATCCAAAGACAAAAAGGGATCAACAAAAAAAGAAGAAGAAAAAAGAGATCAAATTTCAATAGTTCTGCAAAATTGAGGCTGCATAACATCACTGCAAAATCAAAATCACCAACAATAATAGATGATCTCTTTCAAGATGAATTTTCAGGGTTGATCTGTTCTTGGAAAATAAGGATTGCAAGAAAAAAACAATTGCGCAGACAACGAAATGTCCACCATTTCATGGTTACAGAAATGCCAACTGCAATTACCAATTGTAGGTCCAGGCCATAAAAACAGAGTTCAAGAATAGCCTATGACATAAATAGTCATAGATTATGACCCTTCCTTTCCAGCACAGCTGGTTGCTAATCGCATTAGAATAATCTTCATCTAAGCTCGAACATGTTCTTAACCGCCAAAAAGAGTCAGAATACATGCATTTAACATGGAGCATTACATAGATAACGCCATTTAGGAAACTCAACGAGGAAAAATCGTTTGCTGATTTTCCAGACTGTTATTCATACAACTTGATGAAATTTTGAGGTTTCAAGTCTCACTAAAATGATGAGTCAGAAATCAGGTTATCATACCTTGACCAAAGTCAGGCATGTGCATGGTCATCATGGGTTATAGCTTCATCTGGATGTATGTTTTCTGAGACTTTACTGCTGTGCTCAGTCACAGGTGCATTGCCGTCGGGGGATACCGTTTCTGAATCTACTCCACGAAGCTGAGAACTGTCTGTTTCATCGGTTTCAGAAGCATCAGAATGCGAGTCTGTGCTGAGATTCAAGGAAGCAGCAGATGTTAATGCTGGTTGTGGCACTGCAGGAGTCATCCCCCTAGTCCAGAACAAAGGCATCTTTTTGTCATCCTCCTTCATCCTCTCAGCATACTTAATGATATCAAAACCTGAACAGTCTTTGCCGCCAAATGAGGACTCGAGCTGGTCCATATCAAATAAATCCTCCATTATTTTCATGGTGTTGAGTTCATCTGAGTAAACAAACTTGACTTTCTTGTAAGTCTTGGGCTCTAGAAAAGCTTTTGCCACCTGCAACAGAAAATTGTCTTGGCATTACACGCAGATATGCTAAACTAGCACAGAAGCGACGAGTCACAAAGCATACCAGAAATAAACTGACACCAGCAACCTATTAGTGGCAATACAGAACTTCCACTGAAAAGAACATACTGGAGTATGTCCCCTAAATAATGCTTAGAACACACCAGGTATCTATGAGCATTCAGCTATACGGTTCATATTCATACAAACTAAATGAAATTGCAACGACATTTTCCAGGTTATATGGACATTCAAACAAAATCTCTTAATAGCTTAGTGGTTGAAAATTGAAAAAATGGACATAATGTAGTAGGAATCTTGTTTGAAATGATAATTATTGCTTCTAAACTAATATCTACTGAATCTTTTGGCGTCAAAACCCTACAATGGCTCTGCACAACCCTACTTCCAATTGTAGGCTGCATTGCCACCTCATAAATAGCCTCGAGAATGGCTCGGCACAACCCAAATTCCAATCGTAGGCTGCATTGCCACCTCATTGAACTTATGTTACCTGGAGCATAGTCTAAAGTCAAACCTACATGTTTGAAAGAGATTCAATGAAGATTTCATATTTCTGATTCTCCAAAAGAAATTTGTAGCATTGTAGAAAGGAAGGATACAACAAAAGGTCATGGTTGGTTACTGACCGTCCAAAATGGTTCAAAGAACTTTGGTGGATTGTACAGTATCGCCAGACCCAGCCTTTCGGGATAATGGTCCTGTAAAACGTGGGCTGTTTCCTTTGTCACCTTCAATGAAATATGTGACAGATTGAAGCCATGGAAATCAATCAGCCAAACCATCTGCTCCTGATCTGGTGGTAAACTTAAAATGGCATTCTCCATGCAATACACCAAGTACCTAATTTGCCCTTTCGTGGACTTTGTGTTCTGTAATCAAAATGAATGTTTTTGAGTTATGAAAGCTAACCAGCATAAGGCTAGGCATGTCCTGAAAAAAGAAAATCTGTAGGTTTCTTTTGATTGACATATAAAGTTCCATTAGATGGCATATGATCCCATAATAACATAGAAGTGTTATTCACATTTTCACTGAGAAATACACTAGTTAATATGCTTAGCTATCCAAACTGATAGATTCACATTCAAAATCCCATTAAAAGAACACCATGCCTAATTTGAAGAGGAAGAATTATATTACTATTTAACAGTGAAAAGTTCACCGCTTCTGAAAATAAGGATCAACCAAATAATTTGAATATTTATTCTATGTTAGAATCATGAACTGGCCCTTTTTTTTTCTGACATTGCAGAGCAAGGGAAAGCGTTTGGATGTATTGACAATTTGACATGGCAGATGAAAAGTTAAAAGTTACACAACAGTCAAAAAGGCCAGTGGAAATTGTCAGATGAAACCTGGCAACTAGGTCTCATGACGAGAACTGTTCTCCCATGCTTGTCAACATAATTTGATCTATAGATTTTCCCTGTCTCTGCTTCACGAGCAACTTCTTCCTACATCATAAACAAAAGTACCGAAACAGTTTAAAAATATTGCTTTAGAATTAATATTACAAAACTAAAAGTTTTTATTAGGACCCAGAACCTGCACAGGCTAACAAGTTTTGTCAAACTGCCGACTAACTAGTGAAACATTTTACTAAATGTATTAAGGTAACCATTTTATAGCCATTTCCATCCCAACTTTTGGTTTTTTACATTGGCAGAGGTTTCATTTATGTGTTGATACTCCAAAATTATGTCCAGTTTTAAATTAAAATTTTTCAGCCAACTATATGCAAATAATTCTCCGCTTTAGTGTTCTTCAAACCTCATCAAAGGCCATTTTTGAAAACAGCATGTAAAAAGCAATTGCGAAGCCTTTTTATTTGTTGTTACAGTAACTTCAAAAAAGAAGTAAAAAAAAATTATTATAAGCAAACCATGGTAAAAAAAAATAAACATATTTTTGTTCCATCCAACAATTCAGGCTCAAAGACTACAGATAATAAGTTAGAACAGAAAAAAGACATGGTAACACACCCAGCGAATCTCTTCTGGTTTATATTCTGCTCTCCATTTTAAGGTTTCTTTCAGCACTTTTGTTGCCTTCTTCACATTCCAGTTTCGTGCCCTTAGGTGTCTAGAGATTGATGCATCAGAACAATAAATGGACAGCTTCTCTGGCAATATCCCCACCAACCTTCTCACCTCATTAATCTGTAAACACCAAAACTTTCAAAGCTTAAAAGCTTTTCTCTCTCTTCCCAGAATCAGTACTGTTTGCATTCCTTCAACTATTTATAAACTAAACTTAAATTATTTATAAACTATAACAAAGCCACAATGAGCAGTCATGACAAAGCAGACAAGCATATTAGTAGCCATACCTTTGCTTGCTGTTCTTCAGTTTTCAAAGCCTTCTCAAAGCCATTTGAAGAAGATTTCTTTAGACCCTCACTCATTGTATGTTACCTGAATGCCATTAGTTGAAGACATTAGAAACCCATATTTCTGCTTTTTTGCAGTAAATAGAAATGCAAGCATTTGTAGAAAAGACTAAACTATTGTTCTCCGCAAGGGATAGTCCATAAAATGATTTAAAATTGCATGAAGATAAGTTTCCTTCTTTTCCAGCAATGCAGAAAGAATTTTAATGATGCACATTACCAGACAAACAAGGTTTCAGTTTTAATAAAAAAACAAAGACTTATTCGTAGTAATTTTATTTGGCTTTGTGGGGAGAGAAGAGAGAAATTTTGGGTATCAGCATATCCCATTTCTTTAATCATTTGAAACATTTTAAGATCTAGTAAAGGACTAAGACAATTATAAGAAAGCACCCAGATACAATGAGTTTCTTTCTTTGCAAATTAGGCTGCAAGTATTTATTACATTTGATCCTTCTGACAGACAAACACAAAGTGAAAATTAATAGGAACACCCAGAAGATCTATTTTCAGTAACCAATTGGCTACTGTGTCAAGGAACATAGAAGAGAATCTCAGATATCAAATATTCCCCCTTTCTTTTGTTATTCAAAGCAAATACAAGATCAGTGAAACTAAGTCATCTCAACCAAAAATCAATGCATGTAAACAAACCAAATATTGTGAAAGTATAAACAACAAATGAAAGAAAATGCCATTTGCAGCTGTGACAAAGAAACCCCGAGCAAAGCTGAAGGAAACCAAAGAAAGTATAATTCAATTTGCACAGGATCTAGAGCATTTTAACAACCTTGTGATGCTATAAAACTCAAATTCTAAATCACTTGTTTGTTTTTAATTTAAGATGAGCAGAATCTACAACTTAAGTGCTCAATAAAAGGGGAGGTCTAAGATTGAAATAGTTTCAACATCTAGAATATCTAGATATCTTAGTAGATTTATCATGCAAAATTCCTAAAAGTGTCAGGCAATGCTTAAATAGTTTAAAAGATGGTTTTCTTCAATAGCCCACCAGAAATAAGGTTATAATTCCATTTTTGCACCCAACTGGGAGTGAATTTAATAAAAGGCTCCTCTCTTTCTGTAATTACTACAATGAATAAGTGCGTTTATTGGCATTTTGTTAAGAATAATTGAAACATAAACCTACTTTATTATTGCATAAAATAGAAAATGAAGTCCACACAATTTTACAAAATTCATCTGCAATTCCACACTCAACACACACCCAAGAAATTCACTTGGAATTTTGTAATTTCAATACCATGGAATTCAACATCATTAGAACAAATTCTATAAAAATGATAAAATTTGTAATAAATTCCACACTACTTGAACTTACATGCCCTCCATTTTTTAATTAAATCAGCAATCCAATCTTCTCTTATCTCTGTTCTATTAATGCACAAAGGACATTTTTCGGAAACACGGAATATTATTGGTGCCAGTTCTGCATTTATTCAAAGAAAAATCTTTACTTGAATTCAATTGACAATTTGACAAGCATTCAATTGCAAACGAATTCTACCATAGAATTTAAAGTCTTTGTGCATTTGCTTTCAAACAGAGCATCAAGCTACTCTGTTAGCTGCTATGAAGCAACTGGCGAGTAAATGTACCATTCAAATAAAAAATATTTTCCATTGCCGTAATAAGACAGCATCTGCAGCAGTAATAGCAAAGCATGCGTAATTCTCATAATTAGCCAAAAACATAGAAGAAAACAAATCTCTACATCCCCATCACGGCACCTGAAGAACAAAGGTGATATTTTTTGCAAATGGCACACGAGCGATTAGATCAATCAAGTGATTATAAAAACATAGTTCCGTAACAGATTCAAAACGTAAAATTGGTATAATTAAGACTAATTACGAGTTTTTATATATTGCTCCTTCTTAGGTGCTTATTATATGCATTTGCTCCTAGAATAAAATCCTATTTGAATGAAATTATAATGTTGTCATTACGATTAAAAAAGAAAAAAAAAATCATTGAGCCAAATAACAATTGATAAAAAAAAAAAATAAAAAAAAAATAAAAAATCAAGACCACAAAGTACTAAATCAAAACCAAAAAACGTTTCATGAATAATAGTCGAACCAAATTACGCATATAAGCAAATGGCATTATTAAACTGATAAAGATGCAAACTTTAAATATATAATAAATCATAAAAACCAACAACAAATTAAAGATAAAACCCAAAAACTATGACTCATAAATAACAGGATCCACGTAAAGATGGGTGAAATAACGAACTAACCTGACTGATTAGATAATTAAGTAATTTTAGCCTGAAAAAACAGAGCAAAGCGATTCTTTAGGAGTTCAACTGGTGCAAACCATAGAATGATAGAAACCAGGTCAACTATGAAAAGGGTAGGCTTAGCAATAAAGGTTGTGAATTGGGTCGCGACTACTTTGAAGAAATAGTATCAGTCTCTGGATCCACACACATGGGCAAAATCGATTAAAGAAACCGGGAAACTGGGTAGGTAATGCTTAGCCTTTTGGCACAAAGTTAAATAATAATTTGGTTTTATGGTTAGGATATTAAGACACCCAGAGATGTGGCGGTATTTTCTTACCTCATTTTTCAGGCTAGTGTTCTTTGTTAGGACAGCAGCACAGTACCACAATGTCCAAGAAGTCTGAAATGACCCTGTAATTGGTATCTCTGTAAGAAATATGTCGGTAGCTTGTTGGGGTAATGTTGACTTTTCGTATTAAACAACCCAAAAAAAATTAAGGCAAAAGCCTTCTCATGGGAATAACAACGGAGATGCCCTTGTTGATTCCCAAATATTTTATGTTATTCAAAGAATAGAATTTTCAAAATATTCAATAATGTTATTTAAAATATTATATTATCTATCCCTACGTGGATCCTGATCTTCTCGTTTTGAGTTTGAACAAATGGTGTTTTGACATCAATTCGTTCTCATTTTAACATATATTTTTCTGTATTCTGATTAATTGGTCTTGGTAAAATCATTTGATTTAGATAAAATTTATTTAATTATAGTATATAATTAAAAATTGAAAATATACCATAATAGCAAGGAATCCTTCAAACTTCAACCTGCCCATAAATATTTGCCCAAAAATGTGCATATCGATATCCAAAAAAATGATACCAATATAAAAGAAAAGAAACATAAGAACGTTACTCAAAATTATATCTAGATAAAGTGGGTCATACTCCAGAGAGGTTAGACACAGCACAAAGGAATAAGGGGATGTAAGAAGTATGTCTGTCGCTTTAATTCTTGCTATGCTCACATTTGCATAGATAGATGAAAAGATAGATGAAAAGATTGATGAAAGGACACAAACCAAGGTATAATTTAATAATAACTGTAGATAAAAAAAAAATAAAAATGGGATATTAAAACAAATAGACAGTCCTTCACATCAAAGTGGAAAGTACATCTGATAAAAATAATAATGATAATAACAATAATAAAGATGAAAGGATGTTGTAGACTACATATAAAAATAATAATAATAATAACAACAATAACAACCGAAAGGATATTATAAACTATATGATAAAAGTAGCCCATTAATTAGTAACTCTCGATAAATTGTTAAAAAAATTATGATTAAACATCTAACAAGAGCTTCTAAAAAAAAAAGAAAAGAAAAGAAAAGTTTCTTCACTTATGACCAAATAAGGTTAGAACATCAAGAATCTCAAGAAAAATAGATTTGATATGGTAGCCTTAAAACTAATGATGTTACGACAACCTCCGAAACCAACTACTTGCTTGAGCCTCGTTCAAATCTGCCATTATAGTTCAACGGTAAAATTTGAAATTTCTTCGTTGTGCCTAATGAGAAACGTCTGACTATTTACAAGCACCTGTTAGTGGTACTTGGATTGCATCGCTGCCCCTAATAATGCCACAAAGGACACCTACCAAACCAACCACACGCGCGCCAAATTAGGCGGTGTGATGTTGGCCAAAGTTGCTCAAACCCACTTCATATTAAGCTTAAACCCTCATTTTTCTACGACTACTTACGAGTAAAAAAGGTCATTTAAAACAAAAATACCAAAATAAATAAATAAATAGCAAAGCTCTATTGAAAGAAAATATTTTACTTTTCATTATGGCAAAAATAAATAAATAAATAAATTCATATTGATTCCACATCTGAGATTTATATACAAAGTCAGTAAAAAGTCACAAATGCCTCTGCTATTGGAATATTGTTGTACAATCATCCTGTACTCACCTTCCTTTTTCTATATAGAAGTTTAGTTTTCCACCGTCTGTTGCAGGCATGTACCCTCACTCACTTCCCCTTCCAAAAAAACAACTGGAAGAAAGAACATTTGGTTAAACATCCAATATCTCACATACTCCTCTTTTTTAGATGTCATTCTAGTACATTAAATGTCCAAACCACACCTTCCACACAGCAACTCCACATTAGGGTGCTGATACTCCAAGACATTGAGAATCAAGAAATAGTCTTGCATGCTATGGGAAGAGAGCTATAATGGCAAATCTGTAATTACATGACTTTGGAAGACCCCTGTGCCCATATTAACCGCAGACATCAGAAACAATGTCGATATGGAGTCAGCAGTCAGCTCCATCCCAAAATAGTGGCACCTCGGCTTCTAAATAGTCAGAGCAATTCTTGATGCCATCATTTGATTCCTGGTATTCATATATCCAGCGTCCAGCAATAAACTCAGCGATCAACAGAAAGAATTCAAATTAGACCATGTGTTACCGCATGCAATAGAATATTTTCTTACCTTCAGAAATCAGACCTGTAAGTTGGCGGATTAAGGGTGACATCTTCTGAACCTTCTCCACAAGGCATCCATCTCCCAGCAGGAAATCAGCAGACAAATCCAATTAAAACAAATGTATTGCAAAAGCAAGCATCTTTGCCCATCCAGTCCAGTCCAAGCATCCAACATCAGCACCTAACTGCCAGTTTGTTTCAGGTTCTGTTTAGCAAAAGCAATCAGCACAAGGAGTTACAGCTGGACCCTTGTTTCGGATTCTGTTTAGCAGGAGCAATCAGCATAAGACACCAAGGTTCCAAGGAGCTCCTGCCTCCTCTGGCACTGAGAGACATCCTCAAGCACCAAAAGAATTAGCGGAAAACTACCGTGACAACTATGAATCTCTCTTTCCCACAATCCCGGAAGAACTCTGCTTCTTCTGTATGCCATATTGCCAGGCATCTCTTGATTTATCGCCGGCTTGATCAAAATCATCTAATGAATTGTCCAATAATGGCTTAAAAGGCCTGTAATGACCATTCCTTGAAATGACAGGTGGACCTGAACTATCATCATCTTCTGAAGGTGTTCCTGACCTGGACTCCATGTGCTTATCCATGGCTCTATGTCTTGGTCCACTTAACCTTGAACCCCTTGTATTGGAGGAACCTTTGCCCTGCGGTCCCTTTGAGACAAAGAACTCTTTGGGAAGAGAGTCCATGTCCATATAGCAGTTCCTGGCTTTAGCATCAGTAATCAATGCAGCCCAATCATCAGATTGAATCAGAGAACTAGCATTCCCCATAACCTGTTCAAACATGCAGCTCAAGTTTTAGATCCAAACCAAGAGTCAAGTTCTAAGTATTTGGATGTGTTTGTGTGTGCATCAGGAGATGCAGAATGGGTGAGATGTAATAATTCAGTTAAACATTCATGATAGAAAAGAAATGGCCAAAAAGTACAGTAACAATACCCATAATGCCCTTCTTGCACGTGTAAGAGCAACGTTCATTCGGCGAATATCGGCAACAAAGCCAACACCGTGGTTTGAGGCACGTACACAAGACATAATAATTACATCACGTTCCTGGCCTTGAAAGGCATCTACAGTATTGATATAGATATCTTTCCCTTCTTCTGACTTTAAAATAGCAGAAAATTCATGCTGAAGGCACTTCAATTGCAGTTTATATGGTGTGATTATGCCAACAGAGATTCTCCCCAAACCCAAGGATTTCAGAGTTTTCTGAAGATGTTCATACAACTGAAGACAAAATTGTGCTTCGTGTATGTTCTGATAAGATACAGATCCACCTCTGTGAGACTCCCTCCCATAAGTAACATCATAAAATACATAAGGTCTAAGCAGCGGATCCTTGTAGTACATTTCATCAGGTAATTTAATAACACTTTCACTGTCAGTAAGACGGCCTTGGTAGAAATACCTTGAGGGAAAATCTCTAATCTGAGGATGCATCCGATACTGTACAGATAACAACATAGTTGGGCATCCTGCTTGTTGAAACCTTTCAAAAAGGCTCCTACTATACAACAAGGTTCCAGCTGCCTTGCTGATAACTGTTGCAGGAAGCTGCTGGGGATCCCCCACAAGAACACAACGTGGAGCTCCAAGAGCCAGAGGAGGGAGAACAGCTACTTCACTGGCTTGGGCAGCTTCATCAATAACTACCATATCAAAACCATGTGTAAGTCGAGAGAACAACTTGCGACCGCTGCTTGAGACAGTGGTGAAAACAATCTCAGCCTCATTGGCAAAACTTGCCTCCAGATTAGCACGTGCTTCCTCCAGATTGAAGTTGCTACCAGCACGGAACCTGGCTTCTAAAATGAGTAGGCGAGAAATCTCAACTAGAACTTTATCTCTGCTTTCAACAGCTGCTGCAAGGTTCTGCAGCAACGCATCCCGGTTTTGGTCCCGAGCCATAAGAACATCAGGATCCACACCAACGGATCCTTGAGATCGACCATCAACAGCTGCAGCATTAAGTTTGTTTTGAAGATCCGCTATTTGTGCAGAGAAATAAGCTTCCTGACCTCTTAAATCTTGCATCCACTTCGAGACTTCCTCACGGCTCTTGATTAACAGTTGTTCAGTTCTTCTCTCAACAGAAACTGCTTGGGCAGCACGTGATTGAGAGTCAACCCCAACTCTAGCAACATCTGGCCGATAAACTTTCATCTCACCATCAATAAATCCACGATCAAGAACACGTGCAAGAAGTTCATCAGTTGCAGCATTAGAAGGAGCACAAACTAACATTCTTGGCTTTGGACAGAGCTTTGAAAGAGTACGGAAGAGATTCTGATCCATGTTATGAAGAACTTCATCAATTGAACCCATAGCAATGTTGTCAGAATTGCTCTCATTGGCTTGCTTGTAACTTTGGGGTGCTAGTTTCTTAAGCAAAGAAGTATAGTAGTGCTGATACTGGACCAAATGGATGACATTTAGCATTCCCCAGACTGTGTGTGTCTTACCTGTTCCAGGAGGCCCTTGAACAAGAGTGAAGGGCCATGGATCTTGCCTCTTTGTCAAACCACTACTAGTACCAGCAGCCGTATGCATCGCAGCCCATTGGATTGCTGCCAGCTGGGGCCCATTAAAGGTCCGATGCAAATGGTCAACGAAATTCTGCGTGAAGCATTCAGGCATTGCAGGAGTCTGTTGCTCATATTTTGGAAAGTGCTCAGGACTGGGCTTTAGGATTGCAGTTTGCATCTACCAGAACAGAAAATAGAGCTTTTAGGTTCTTCATAATACATGTCTATGAACTAGAACACAAAATTATAGCATATGAAAGAAATTTAGCTCTCACCTGAGAATTGAGACGGCAAAATGCATGCAATGCAACATACTCCCGCTGAGTGGTTGCAAGAGAACCAAGCACAGTTAGATACCATGTGCCTCTGGGCTGGAGTTTCCTCAGAATATGATCTTCATCAACCTTACTGCAGATAATGAATCACAAACACAAATTGTTGAGTAAAAGAGACAACAAAACTAATGGATAGTTAAGCAAAGAAATACAAAGGAATTATTGCTCATGAACCTGTAAGGGTCATATGAATCCCCAACAAAAAAATGAAGTATTGCACCATGAGGATCACGAGTATCCAAAGGGATATGCCGTCTAACAGTACCAGCTACACGTCCACTGATTTCAGGTTCATCATCATCGTCAATGGATGAGGTGTTGCTCCTCTTGGATCTGACTGCTTGACATAGTGAGAATTAATTTTTTTTGAAATATAAAGCCAGTATTAAATCCAATATCATATCTGTATGAATTAAACATATTTGTACACTATCACAAACCTGTTCCAGGCCTAGGGGTCGAAAGAACTGCAACGTCACCCTCCTTGAATGTCCATTTGTATTCATTTACTGGAAGGACAATCACATCATACCATCCTATGCTCACAAGAGAAAATCTCAACCAGTCAACAAAACTGAAGCAAAGATACAAACCAATACACTAGAAATACACCATCTATATACCTCTTTCTCGCCTTTCAATGCTCTTTACACGAACCATTGCATGTGAATTTGTTTCAGTCAACTCTTCCCATGTGCCATAAAGTTGAGCTCGGCATTCTTCAAAAAGCAAAGGCTCAAATACCCTTACATACTCTTCGACAGATTCAAACCGCCCAGGAACACATTGAAGCTCAGAATCCTCTGATTCACAATAATATTACTAGATCAGATTCAGATAAACTATGTAATCAAATAATAGGAGAAAAGAAAAAAAGAAAAGAGCTCCAAGCAGATACATAAATGACAATCATTAATACAACAGAACGAATGGAAGAGTCATTAAAAAATAACGGACACCAAAAAAAAAGCCATCTAAAGACAATGGGCATCAATGTCTATGGTGATTGAACCTCAAATAACCCAAACATTATTAGCAGAGCCAAGAAGTGTACACTAAGATCACCTCCTAAGTACATTGGTTGGGCTAGCAAACCTCTTCCAAACTTGTTTGCATTTATGCTACCAAATGAAAATGTGAGGCTTTACGCATGTAGCATAAAAGAAATCTAGTATTAGTAATCCATGCCAGAAAATTAGATGAAAGCGATGGAAAATTTGAACAATAGTATAAAAATCACAAGCTTATTTCGTTGGTTCAATTAATCTTCCATCCAAGAGGCTCTTCGGACGGTTGGATGACGCCCACCACATGTAGCTGTGGGAATTTCCTCTGCTATGCGTGGGCCTGATCAATACAAACATCAGCTTTTACTTATTGAAGTACAGGCAAAAAAACCGTAACTGACCCACAATGTCCTATCCTAATGGGGACGAGAAAATGGATAAAAGGCATCAATGTGCATGGCCAGCAATTCAATCACTAACATGATGATACTTAATGGTCCCAGGATTTCAATTAACTGGTTGAACAATATTTGTCCTGGTGATATATCTACCATGTAGTCTACTATCATGTATCCCCTACTTCTCTCTAAATTTTGCAGAGGGATGCAATGTTAGGTTTGGTTACTTACTTTCTTAACTCTTACTATTGAACACCTCCTTTGATTAAAGGCAAAAAAGGTAGACAAGAACAACCAAAACTCAATTTTTTTTTATCAGGATATATTATAGTCACTGCAAACACAGATACATGCAGATTTATATTAAGTACCTGGGTGATGCCAAAACTTCTCATTAGTCACCTCTCGTATAAGACGTTCCACTGACGTATCTTGATATGGGGTACTGACTACAACTGGCTTCTTGGCAGGAAGGTGTTTCTTGTTTCCCAACTTTGAATCCATGGAACCTTGGCTCATCAGAGCTGCCTTCCTATTAGAAAACTGCAAGTTCTTTGGCTGTCTCGAATCAGCAGGCTGCTTCCATGAACTCTGTCTTGGAATGGGTGGCAAGTGTCCTTCGCCAGGAAAATCAGTATCACTGTTCAGCCTCCTAGGCTTTGAGAGTTGTCCAGAATTTATATCACCATTAGATTCAGTTTTAGGCTGACAGGACTCCATAGAAATGCCCCCTTCATTGCCTGATAGATCAACTTGTTTCTGATCCTTAACCATAGGATGAATTATCCTTTCACCAACATGTTCAGCAAGTGTAGGGACAGTACGAACTTCTTTCACAGTTCGAATTGTAGATGGCTGCCGTCTAGGTGTTGAAGATTTGATAGGACCCGCTTGCTTGACTTCATCTATATTAATTAACATGGTCTGTCTATTACGCTTCTTTCCTAGCATTGCTTCTTTATGCTGGTCTATTTTCCTCTTCCCCAGATTATTGGCACACTTAAGTGCATGATTTGCTTCAACACCTTTAACTTCTTTTGATTTTGGAACTAAAGCAGTTTCTTCTTGAACATCTAAGGATGCATCACCATTACCATTGCCATATGAATTTCGAATACTGTTACTTTTCACATCATTAAGACCCTGATCTGAACCCTGTGGACCACGGCCACAGCTTTCAACCCTGGTATTATCAGTAATCTTGGTACTGCCAGAAATGTTTTCAGTACCCATACCAGAAGTACTGCATTCCATCAACTCAGATTTCCCTTGATCTTGTGAAGTTTTGCCAACTTCATGGAGACTATTGCTAGGAGGTGCATCAGCAGAGCCTTCTCCGTCAGACCACTCTCCTTCTTCTCTTTCTGCAGCTCCAGGACCTGCACTACCTGAAATTAATGGTGTTGCATCATCATCATCATTACTCGCTTTTACTGAGGATGCAAACTTGGGATTATGATCCCCTGCCCTCTTCTGTTCAGAAACTGCTTCAGGGCCATGTGCAACTTTGGGACGAACAAAAGGCTGAAAACCCGACACAGAAGATGCATGTGAGAAAGCATTGTTACTTTTTATTCCTTGGGGAACTACTGATGCTGCAAACAAGTTAGAAGGATTTGGATTTACAGAGGGAAGCGCCTTCTGCGGCTGCAAGCAGACAACACGATCAGTCTCCTCATCATCCTCGGCAGGGGGTTCATTAAGATCAAATAGCAGCCTTCCTCGAGAACCCATTTCATATGAAAATGCATACAAACAAAATTGTCTACCCAAGAGTATCTAACTATCTGTATTTGTATTTTCTTTTTAGTAAAAAATGTCAACCTTAAAGACATAAAATACTCCTCCAGCAAATTAGTCAACAGAATTCTACAAGCATTTTTACATCTGCAAATAAAGATCACAAAAGCAATATATTAATGAAGAAACTATGGAAAATGCAATCAATGGGAGTTCTATAAGCATTTTCAGATCAGCAGATAAAAGTCACAAAAGCAATATTTTAATGAAGAAACGCAAATTTACCATACAATGCATATATAGGCACAGCTAAAACAAAGTTGGTATAAAGCTTCAGATATAAGCTTCCAGGAGAAGAAGAAGTTTCCAATACTTAATAACTAAAATTTTGAGATATTAACAATTGTGCATGTTCTGCACATGCTCCCCAAAATTACGCACTCAACACAATGAAACTCTAACTAACCAACATCAAACACACAAAGTAGCAAGTCTATTCGTTCTTAATAAACACCTATATAATGATCACCACCAGGCAGTATTGAGTAAATTTTTCAGACCCAAAATAAAAGTACAAATACTTAAAAGAGAGTGTGCGACTATGCCATTGTGCGATCAATATTTTTTTTTTTTTTTCTAATACAAAATAGACCATCAATTCCAAGCAAATGCGAGAAACAACAACAATAACAATAACCATTCACATTGTCTCAATCTAAGAGTCTAGATGACATTCACGCTGCAGAACAGACGCCCAACAATGGTAATTCACGAACAGAACCAACAGCCAACTTTACATCAGGAAAAACCTAATAAAACCAATAGGCACAAACCAAGTCAATTACCCCACCTGCAAATCAATAACTACATTAACCTACAGACGCAACCAATCAAAAACTATATATTACCCTATATATACTGCAATAACAGCACTCCCTTCCTTTAACTACATAGCATCATAAAATGAAACCAGATCGAGACCATGTAATTTTAATCCAAAGAAAACCAATCACAAATCGCACAATTCCTCAGATAATCCAAAGAGGTTTCTAGGGTTTGAATTACCAAACAACCTATCCCCAAAATACAATCCCACTAATCTCTCCACAAAAATCAACAACCCAATCAATCATTATTCGTCAATATACTAAACAAGTATTGATCTGTGATGGTTGTCTCTCGCATTAATACCACAGTCTAACACTTGATTCACTATTTCACATCATTTTTTTATTTATTTCCAATTTACTTTCCCCAATTCTCGATTGTTCTTGCTCCATTTCGAAAATAAATAAAAAATAAACTTAATAAAAATAATTTTAATTTAAATAAATATTAAATTAAAATCTGATAACTGTATTGGAGAGAGAAAATTGTTACCTGTTTGAGAACTACTTGAATCTCTAGTAGATGGAGAGAGGAGGGTGGTTCTCAGAGAGAGGAAGGGCAGATGCAAATATGAAGGGAGAGAGGGTGTGGTTACGGGTTTATATAGGAAATAACGAGCCACCTTCACCGGCTGTTTTTACTCCGTTCACCGTTAAAATATTCCCGGCAGTTTTTTCCTTTTCTTTTATTATTTTATTTATCCTCCCAAGGTTACCGAATTTACCGTTAACGCCCCAGTTTTTGCTATAATTACACACTGTGTCCCGTCCGTGTTTGAATTGACTGAAACGTTAAGCAGTAGCACAAAGTGCTTTATTTATTCAGACAAAACTAGAGGATAATTCTGGGATTTGCCTAATAAAATTACAATAACTTATTAAATTTCTTGTTTTTACTTGCGTGTATTGCACTTGCACGGAAGAATCTTGTGCTCGGGACAGTAATCAACGTCCACGTGGTTAAAATGTGGGTCCTGATGGATTGCCACGTAGATATGGATGCATTAATGGTTTGATAGGCCGTGTGTTTAGTTTCAGAGGCTTAATGACACGTATTATGTGACGAGAAAGTTTTGCCACTTTGGTAAATTCTAAAATGTTATAGGGGTAATTCTAGAATTTAGAGAAAAAATAAACGGGTATAATTCACGTGCGACTAAAGCGGAGAAGAATACATAGTCCTATCATATGCGTCTTATAATTGATGTGGTTATGAATTTACGAGATTACCACTGAAGTTGTACGTTGGAGAGTGAAATATACGCGACGTGGATGCAGGTGGGGAAATATCGCAAAAATAAGGGTTTCACAAATAGGAAAAGGGCAATTCATGTAGGGTTGTCTATTCTCTATTCCCTTCCATGCTCCTTTTGATTATTTCTTGGTAAATCACTTGACCAAGCATGGGTTATGACCTAATCATGAAAATGGATTTTGGCTAAATATGCATAGGGTGGTTTTATGAATTTTGCCTCTAAGGCTGACAAAACATCCCAAAATTTAAAATCAAATTGAAATCAAAATAATTGTTAGGAAAATGGTAATTAATTAAACTAATAAACTTGATTATAGTTTTTTAATTTTATAAAATCAAAAATTAACTAATCCAAGATAAAATGCCAATCACCCTTTTTTTGCTTATTTAGAAGGTTTTTAATGAGACTTGCAATTTTTTGTTAACAAAATTTGGAGGTTATGCCTCATACTCAATAAAAAGGAAACAAAGAAGATTTGTACTCTTATGAAAAAAATCACTGTGTAGGGATTGTTTTATTTATTTATTTTTGATATTTAATAACTACTTTTGACAATTGGTACTAATGTTTGTGATTATTTAATATTTTATTATTATTATTTTTATTGAAGTTTTAAATTATAATTAATAATATTACTTTATTTATATATATATATTCACCGTTTTCTTTAATGTTAAATATACATTGAAAAAATAATAAAATTAATCGGTAGTTGAAAACAATATTATCAAAATTAATACATATAGTATTTTAACTTAATGATAAAGATAAGCTAATTAAGTTCGTTAATTTAATATTTAAAGAAAAAGAAAAAAGAATAGAGTTTGGATGTAAAGACTAAATAGTTTGGATGTAAAAATTAAAAACTATATAATTATTTAATCAAAATACAAAAACTAAATGGTACTTAAGATTAAATTTTAAGGATTAAATAATAGTTTATATATCATACATATATATACTGTCTCTAGCCAAAATAAGCCGGCAAACACTTGATAATAATTCTTGAGAAAAAAATCTATGATTTGTCATATGACAATATTTTCCTTTTCATTTAATTTGTAATTTTTATTTTTAATGGATTTATCTATCGCTGTTGAGCTTTTTTATAAAATTTTTGTGTATGAGTGTCTAATGCAAATTTGCAATATTCTTAATAGAAACTGCAAAAAATAATAATACTAATACTATATAATTTTGCTACATGCATATTCTCATGTGTCGTTGTCATGATAATTTGTTTACAGAATTTTTAATTGCTTACATTTTGTATGATACCATGCAAAAAAATACAGGGAACTACAACATTATATTTTATTTAAAAAAATACGATATGAAATATATATATATTTAACTTTTTTTTGAAAGGATGATTTTTTCGGAGAAAATAAATTTTATGTGAAAAATATCAGATGAGGTAAAATATGCATTATAAATCTACAAAATTATTAATTTCTCCAAATCTTAAAAAAAAAATAAATAAATAGTGAATTGAGAAAAGTATATATCGGAACAAGGAAGAATTATATACCGAAAGTGAAAGAGCAAAAGAAACATATTGGTGATTATTCCGTACAATATTGCAAAGTACTTAAATATTTGTAATTACGATTTAATAATATATATAATTTTCTTTTTTTTTTTTTAGAAAAATATGCTATATAAACCAATATTCAATGTTATGAAATTGCAAAATATTTTTCTATACCTTTAATTGATTTTGGCGCTATCATGAACATGCCATGAATCATCGTTCAAAGTGAGAATGACATATTCAATGAAGACATGCTACCAAACACATTATAGTGCTCTGTTTGTGTTGTGCTTCTAACCCTGATCTTATTAAAAATGGGGATATATAGATTAGGTTGAATTGCTATAGAATTTAATTACTTGTTCCATCGTAAATTCTAGAAGCGGAAAATTTCATGTATAATTTCAAATAATAAGAGTTTTTACTAATTTAGCAAAAATTATTTGAAATGGAGAATTAACTTTTTTTTTTTTTTTTTATGATACTTATTTTTTATTACAAATTTTTAGGGACAGAATCTCAATTTTAGAAGCTAGTATAACGGTGGGAAAGAATGCCAACTACTTATAAAGAAGCAAGATATAATGAACAAGACGTACTTCTATTTATCGACAATATCTTCCGTTTCTTTTAATCTCTCTCAGCCGTATGACGTAAAAATTTTTATTTCTTCCAATAAAGTAAATTTATATTCTCATTATTACGGAATTGAGATTATATTCTCACTCTTATTGAATTTAGGTTGCTTAACACCTCAAAAAACACTCTGTTGGTAATTATCTAATTACAGTAATTGAAGTTTAAATTTATTTTTAATAAATGATTTAAAGGGAGAAAAATCTACTTATGGCGTGTTTGGTGTTGGATTCCACGGTTGTTGTTGGGCATTTATTAAAAATCTAAAATCAACCGCATGCCTAAAGCATGCCACGAATTTGAAACAGTTATAAAAAAGATGGCTTAAATGGAAAAATTAAAGAGATTAAAAAAGAAAATACAAAGCCACACCTCCATTGATAAAATATTATAGACTGTAATAGAATAAATATAGTATGATCAGCTTTGTAATGATTTATAAGTAATAATTGGAACAGAATAAAATAATAAAAAAAAGACAATTTCTAATCATACTTTATTTTAGTTGGTATGATTTTTGAATGTCAATTATAATCTTTTAATTGAAATTTTGATGGTATTCAATAAAATCAAATATTGCATGCTAAAAATTATTAGTTGAATTTTAATCTTTGAATAATAAAAATTCCCAAAGGTACAAAATTGTTTAAAATTTTAATTATTTTATTGTACTTGAAATAATTTTTAAATTACAAATTATATTAAATGGAAATGTTACTATTTTTTTTTTTTTTTTGACAATTTCTAATCATAAACTTTATTTTAGTTGTATATTTTGAATGTCCAAATTGATCTTTTAATTTGAATTTATGGATGGTAATTCAATAGTCAATATTGCATGCTAAAAATTATTCAGTATGAATTTTAAATCTTGTGTAATAATTTTAAAGGTACATAATTGGTTTAAAATTTTTAATTATTTTATTGTACTTGAAATAATTTTATAATTACTATTTTTTTTTTTTTTTTGAAAGGAAGATATGCTACTATTTAGTTCTTGTGTTATAGTATATTTTATTACATTACGAAAAAATTAGGACATTTATATTTAAAAATAAATTCAAATTTATTGTATTTTAATCATACAACTATTTGTGTTTTTTTTTTTCCGTTAAATCAACTAAAAGAACTAAAAAGTGAGTCAAAAAATTCAATAAATGTAATTGTATATTTAAACTATATTTTTGGTCGGTATTTCCTTTTATTTCTCCTCCTTCATGTTTTTTCCAACTATAAAATTAAAAAATTTAGCAAATTAACAATAGAATTGTATGATCAAAAGCTCATAAAACAAGTATATTTAAATTTAGTTTTTTAAAATAAAGATTTTCATTAACATAATATAATATAATATAATGTAAAGTCTGAATAATAATTCATAATAAATGATAATATTGAATTTTAAAGCTATTTATTGAAAGATTTAATAAATATACATAACAGTTAAAATGGATTTAAAATAGAATGACCATTAAACAGGAAGCTTCTTTTTTTTTTTTTTTTTTCTCCATTTCGTTGTTTCCATTATGACTCACGTGGAATGGAATGGTATTTAAAAAAAAAAAAAAAACAGAAAAAAAGAAAAGAAAAGAAAACTCAACGTGGAATGGAAAAAAAGTTCAACCTATGGAAATTTCATGGGCAGTAGCGAGTCGTTTGAAGAATTGGGCAAAAAAAAAAAAAAAAGAAAAGAAAAGAAAAGAAAACTCACGTGGAATGGAAAAATTCAACCTATGGAATTTCATGGGCAGTACGATGTCGTTTGAGATTGGGCCTCAACTCTTTCGCAACCGAATAATTGCGTCAGTAATCGACGACACCAACAATGGCCGTTAACAGAAAAACCCTAGATTCTATCTCCCTTGTCCCACTCAACAACTATGGATCTTTTTACATGGAATTGGAAGCCAGTCTTGCCTCTTCTCCTCTTCGCCTTTCTCTTCCTTTACGAAGAATGGGTCTCCATTCCTTCCTGCGCCGTTGTACCCAGCAGCAGCCCGGACCTTCATGCAGAATACGACACCGTCAAAGAGGGTAACCAAGTGGAGGGTTTGAAAGTCATGATAGTCGCCAATTTGTTACTCTTTGCATCCGAAGCTGGTTTTTTTAACCAATATTTTAGAGACTATTACATGTCCAAGTTCTTCAAGGTAATTCTTTCTTCTTTTGCTTTTCTTTGGTTCAATGTTTTGATAAATTGACAGTTAAGGAATTACTGTTACTTTTGTAATCAGTGATGACTAGAAATGGGACTTCAAAAATTTTCGAAAGTTGATAAATTTTTAATTGTATTCTTGAAGGAACTTCTTGATGGTAATTGATATTGTACACTGCAGAAATCATTTCATAGTTTGAAGCCTGATATGCTGTTAGTACTGGGAGATATTTCGGCTAAAGGATTTGAGTTGAATAAAACTAAGTGGGTCTCTTTGCTGCATCAGTTTCATCAAATGCTGGGACCTTTTCTTGAGCTCCCTTTTCATGTTGTTCTTGGTGATAGGGATGTTGGGGAATGCAATAAGCTTGATGCAAGATTTGTCCACTGGGTATCTAGAAGTTTTCCTGGTTTAGATTCAGCCGGTTGCGGTGCCTTTGAAATTAGCAATGTTAGCTTTGTTTCACTTAATGCTGTTGCATTGCTTTGTGGCAATAATAAGCTACGGTTTAGTGTCGAGAGGACAATAGAGACGGAAAGTATAGATCTCCGAATGGAAACAGACGGCATTACTGAATTGGTGGATGATTCTGGAAAACTTAGGCAATTGCCTGATAGCTTTAGGTGGAGAGAGAATGCAATGTTATCTGGATCTGGCCCTGTCCTGTTACTTCATTTTCCTTTGTATCGGACAGCAAATGACAGTTGTCGGGAAGACAAGATTTTTGAGAAGGATCCTAGATTGTCTTCACATGGCTCAAGAACACAACAGAGGCGGGTGCATTTCTAGCATGTATTGCAATTTTTTATTTATTTATAAGTCAATCTTCAGTGGGGATTATAAGTTTCATGAGCTTGTTTGCACTTTTGCTATGATAGCAGTTTCTTTATGCACTGTTGAGTGTCAGTTGGACAGGGATCAGTGGCATTTTAAAAGCCTTCTATGAGATAGTTGACTACCTAAAGTCTCAGTTATCAAACTTTTTATGAAATGCCAACGTGCAGGATTTTGGAGATAACCGTGATATCATAAACATCCTTCATACGAGCAAGTTTTAGAGAACTGACGATAGTCATAGAAGGGTCCAGATAAATTTAGGTTGTATTTTGCAGTTGTAATTAGTATATTTTTTATCTCCTTGCCTTAGGAATTGAGTGTTTTCATCCACCTTCATTTTTGTCTTTTGAATTGCTGAATAATTTAGATTGCTGGAAGTTCTCTTTCTGAAATTTCCTCTTTCTTTCCTTCAGGGAGTTTACTAATAGTGGACCCTATGATTTATTGCATACTGTCCCCCCAAATGCTACTGAATATATTTTTCAAGCGCTCAAACCAAGGTAATTATTAAAAGAATCATCAAATAATTTTCTTGCTTGCCAATTTTACTTATTTATGTGTACTTATGCTGTGTTTTGTATGAGTTGTTGCATATGTATTCTTAGAGGGGGTGTGTTGTGAATGAATTTCTTCCTGACAGCTAAAAGCCATGATTTTCTTGTGGACCAGTATAAGTGGTTGAAATTAGTTCAACTTGCTTATCATGAGTTTATAAGATGTGAAGTAATATATATACTTTTGTTGAATACATGCCTTTGTTATCTCAATGCCACTGGTTCTGAACAGAAGATGTTCTATAATCATTTATTTGCTGCATATCCATGTCTCAGTATCTTCTGATTTTTCCTTCTTCCTCCACACACCAGATTAACTTGGCCTCTGCTATTTTTTGCAGGATCATTTTCAGTGCACATACCCATGAATTCTGTGACCATACTCACTCGGATGGGACACGTGAGGTGACTGTTCCTGCAATGACATGGAAACTGAGGGACGATCCTGGTTTTATCATTGCCACCTTCCATAGGGATAGAAAAGCTGTAAGTGTTAGCTACTGTTCCCTGGCTAGAGAATCTCATGTGTTATTAATGTATATTTCTTTTCTGATTCTGTTCCTCACCATATATCTGGTGTCAAATACACCACAGCTTAGATGTTTAAGATGATGATGGGGGAATACTGTTCTACATTACTTGTTGTACATTATAGAGCAAAATTTTAATCAAATGTTCATGTTTCTTCACAGAGCAAAACTTTAACTACGAAAACTTCGATCCAATTGATTGAGTTCGGCTAAATGAATCCAATTAGCTAAAGTGGGACTCTAAGGTCCTTTATCTAATTCTCTTGCTAGACAAAATCCTTGCGATGACATATTTCTATTACTGCAGTCACCATTGACAACAGACTAATATCAGAACCTTTAGGAAATATGGAAATCTATACATGTTTGTTCAACCAATACATTGCATTTGATGACTACTGACTATTATATAGAATGGCACCACTACTAATATAAAGCTATGACTAGAAGTGGTTACAAAACAACAAAATCTTGAAGCCATGGATGAGAGCATTAATGTGTCATTATGGGTAAATGCATGCTAAGTTCAAATACTTCGTGTTCTATAAGGAAACAAGAAGCCAACATGGATGTGGTTTTTGGCCAACTAAAGGTATCATCATTCTGGTTTGAGTCTGGTTATGCAAAGAATTACATTGTCTATTCACGTTTGCTGAGGAAGAAGGAAAATCCTAACAGTTAATTGCTAAGTCATCAAACAGTAAATGGCTTTTACATTGAGCATCATCTGCACCCTCTCCTCTCTTTGTTTCTCTATACAGGTTTTATTACACATTTCTCTTTTTCTTTCTTTCCTTTTTTTTTCTCTGCATGGTGGGATTCCAGTTTGTTCTTCCAACCTGAAAAGGATAGGTTGGGCCATTTCTGTCTTTGTTTTCTGTCCAGAATAATTTCAGAAATGCTAGAATGCATCAAATGATAATTACTTTTATAAGTAATGCAACTTCATTTTTTTTTTTTTTTCTGAATGAAAAACATCAGCTCACATGTGACTTTATTTGGTATAACATTTGAAATTGGCAATCCATTGATGGACATATGGGATTGGCAATCCATTGATGGACACTTGGGATTGGCAATCCATTGATGGAAGCCTAATTATGCCATAGTAGGATTCCAGTTCATCAGTCAATACGTCCATTGTGTTCAAAAATTCAGTTCCAAGTATTAAATTATTATACTAATTGGATACTCTTTGTCTCCAACATTCAAGAATTGAGACCCTTCATCTATCACCATCAAACCATCTTCATTGGCTCTGCTAAGGTGCTCACAAGGACTAAGCTTATATTCAATTTCAACTTTCTCCCCTGCATTCAGTTTCGCAGTTTGAAATCCCACCAACTTTTTCATTGGCCTCCCATTTCCAAGCTCTGGTTGCCTCAAAAAAAGCAATACTGGATGCTTGCCTGCCATCTCACCATGATTTTCAACTCTTACAGTAACTGAAAGACTACTCTTTTCACAGAGTTCTCCTATTTCTGATACTGACCTGTAACTTACAGGTGTGCTGTCTTCTAGCTTTTGATCAATTTTTGATCTTAGTGAAATCTTGTTTTGCATAAGAGGAGCAAACTCATAAGAATAGTTTGAGTAACTTAGACCATAACCAAATTCAAAGACCTTTTTGCCTTTATAGAATCTGTAAGTGCGACCGGGATATCCTGATGATGGTTGAGGCCGCATTCTCATGTCTGTCATTGGTATCTTGGTGAAATCTTGTGGATACCATGTCACTGGTAGTCTCCCTCCTGCATTTCATTGGAATTAGTGCCAGATTTGATAGCAGTAAGACAATAAAATAGTATTTTTTTTATATATTTTATTAGCTTTATAGAAGTTCACCTGGGTTGTAGTCGCCGAAGATGATTTCTGCAAGGGCATCTCCGCCAGCTTCACCTGGATAGCCAGCCCACAGAATGCTGCCTATGTTCTTATCATATTTGGCAAAAGATACGTCTACTGGTCCTCCAGAAAGAAGCACTAAGATAACAGGTTTCTTTGCAGCTTGTGCAACGCTGGTTATCAGCATCTGTTGCTTCCCTGGTAGCACCAAATCATCACGATCATGCTCTTCCTTTTCTTGGGTTTGATCAAGTCCCATGACTAACACCACTTGATCTGCCTCTTTTGCTATTTTTACTGCTTGGTCCACCGTAGTTGAGGAACATGCAACTGTGTCGCAACCCCGGTGATATCTAGTGTTCTTAATGTACTTCTGTAATCCTTGCAATGGTGTAACTGTTTTGCAAGGGGGACCTGCATAATTTCCAAGAAGTGTAGAAGAATTATCGGCATTGGGACCGATAACTGCAAGGGAGTTGGTTTTTGATTTTGAAAGTGGGAGAAGTTTATTGGAGTTCTTTAGCAGAACTATGCCTTCCCGAGCTGCTTCGAGGGCTAAAGCTTGATGTTCTTGAGAACAAACTACATCTGCATTAATGTTTCCATAAGGCTGTTTAGTTGGATTGCCATTAAATAGTCCAAGTCTCATCCTAACAGAAAAGAGATTTTTAAGAGCTCTGTCTATTTCAGATTCTGCCACTTTCTTCTTTTTAACTGCTGATTTTGTGTAGCTCTGCAAATAAGAACCGCAATCCACATCCATCCCTGCAATTTGCACACTAAATTATAAGACGGATTTTAAGCTATGAAGCCAAACACGGACATGAAACAGAACACCGCAGCCAAGTTGTTTACTTTTTCATAAAAATTAGCATAGTACATATGCATTGGCTGTGTCTTGTATTAGAGAAATGTAAAACTTAACTACTCAAGTATATGTTCTTCATAGGTTTTTAGGTATATTAATATAAGTTGTTGATAGTATATTAATATAAGTTATAGATAGAAAGTGAATAGAAAAGTTCTAGTATCATGCCAAATTACCTGCTTTAAGTACATCTGCAACTGCATCTTCTGGTGAATTAACATATCTCTGATCATCATAGATGATAGAGACTGCATCACAATCAGACGTGATATACCTAATTATTTTTCAATTAAGAAAGCACGTTAAACCTTAGTTAATAACAGAAAAGAATTCTCTTAACCATCTTCAATCAATTAATTATTGAATTCTCTTAACCATCTTCAAGCAATTAATTATTTGTTTTGTAAATTATACCCTTGGAAGTTCCACTGTCCTCTTGCTGTCTTAGATAAAAGATTGTAATCGGCACAATTTGGGACTCCATTAACTTGATTATAAGCACACATTATCCCACTGGCTTTTCCTTCTTGAATGCAACTTCGAAATGGAGGTTGATATGTATCAGCCAAATCTTGCAGTGTGACCTAAACTCAAAAGAATGCAGTAGCATACGTGAGTGGAAAAATATGTTAGAGCGACTTAAATGAGCAAGGTGCTGGTAAGCTGCTCGAGATTTGGTTCCAAAAACACTTATTTGATAAGTTTAACAAGTTGAGTTTAAGCTTGCTTCTAAAGCTAGTTTAATAAATGAACTGAATTGAGCTCAATAGAACTTGGTTTATGTGCGCCTCACTTCATATTTTCTTTTTCTCCATTTGTATCTGTCCCTAACCCTATTTCCCACTTCCTAATCAATTCCCTTATTCACTATTATTTTCTTTACTTTAAGCAATGATTTTCTTTCTTCATTTTCAAGCAAATGTAAATAAATAAACAGAAGAAAAGAAAAAGGAATATCCCCTTCTCTTCTGCCTTATTTCAAGGAGTAAAAGATTAATTATTCTTAAACTGAAGTGGGGTATAGATATCAAAGAAATAGTCAAATGACCCAACTTAGAAATCCAGAATATTAAATTGAAAAAAATATAAATTAATGCAGAAGTCAAGAAAGAGTTCCCCGCCAATCAAGATTTCTATTATTAAACTAAGCCCTTGGACAAAGGGCTGCGCATCTATTAATCCAGTTTAGTTGGGTTGAAAATTTTGTTAAAAAACCGAATTATTTTTAGTTTGGTTTATTCAATTTATTCAGTTAAAAAATAACATAACCAAACCACAAACCGAAATATTTTAAAATTTCAAATCAACTCAAATCAAATTGCCAACTGCCTAAATTAAATAAACCAAATTGCATAGATTGGATTTGGGTTTTCAATTTTTTAAGTTGAACAGTGCTCGTTACCTACTTGTACCGATGAGGAGTCTTTTTCTTGCAATTCTATATATTTTAATAAAAAAAGGTAAATGGTAATGAAAAAAGAAAGGAAAAGTGAAGGCTCTTGTCTAGCACAGTAACACTTACTCGAGCATTAAAGATGAATCTAGTCATGTTTTGCCATTTATCCATGTCATAAGCAGTAAAATGCTTGCAACAGGCTGAAGCTTGAAGATGCTCTCCAATTGCCCCTCCTTCAAAAGAATCTCCTTGAACGCCTCTCACAAATGATACTGCATATTTCCCTGTAACCATTGGATCTTCTCCAGGTGTTTCTTGCCCTCTTCCCCATCTTGGATCTCTATATATATTAATATTTGGTGCCCAAAATGTCATCCCTGTCGCTTGTCCAGCATTATATATAGCTCTAGCTTCTTTTCCAGTCACCTTCATACATTTGATACCCATAATTAACATACCATTACATATTAATGCAATGGACTTAATCACTTTTGAGTCATATAAATGAAGGATTAGTTATTCAAAGTTACTTACTTGACCAATGCGATACCAAAGATGGGTATCAAATGAAGCAGCAGTGAGAATGACCTGAGGAAAACTAGTGGCTGATTTAATGGTTCCATTGAAATGAATGCCTTGTCTTTGGCTGACATCAGGTAGAAAGGCAACACCATGTAATGCTTCGGACCACCATTCATAGGCAGGAATGCCAAGTCTCGGAATTGCAGGAGCTGTGTCCACTAGTTGAGATATTTTCTCATCTAATGTGAGTCTTGATACAAGGTCTTCAACCCTTTTGCTAATGGGCAGTGAAGTTTGGCAAAAAGGGTATAATTTTGCTGATGGGTTAGACAGATCACATGAAAATGGTGGCTGAGCAGATTCAGTACAAATGGAAAGGAGAGAGATTAGTTGAAGGAAGGTTACGAGAGAGAGGTTTCGGTTTTGGATCTTCATTTTTTGTAAAAACAAAGGACAAAACAAAATTATAAGAATTCATATGCAGAGAAGCCCCTTTTATAGAACAGAACCGCAAGTTTTTTAACACTTGGTGGTAAACAACAATTTCAAACATTTACTCTATATCTATTTTAGGTAAATGTTAAAAACAATCAATTATATATTTTTTTTATCAAATACTGATCATATATACATATGTCCGACATTGATAAAACAAATAAAAAATTGGAACACTAAACAATTAGGGTTGCTGATTTTTTAAGACAGCTTTTACAGGTCCACCACCAAGGTCAGAGATGTTGACCAATCACTTGTAAGGAAAATGACAAAACTTGCCCTACTCTTATGTATCTCTTCGAGAATTATTTTGGTGCTTTTGTGTTGCATAAGAATCAGATGGTTTGTTTTGCCCAGGAAACAGAGCCTTTTGGTTTGGTGAGCTGAATTGGATATATCCTGACAATTTTTCTTGTTATGTGATTTTTATCTGCCAATCAAAATGAATTTGGGATATTTTCTTTTATAATTTTGATGAAAAATAAATTGGTCTTTTACTCAAATAATGGAAAATAACTAATTTTTAAACTCATATCCAAACAAGAACTATTGTGGCCAGAGTAATGTGTTTTCGTAAATTACAGTTTCACTCTTTTAGTACTATTAATTAAGATAACGAGTCTCAAATTTTAAATCAACATAATACCATTAATTAAAATATTAGATTCAAGATGTTGGATCCAACAATATTGCATAGACATTCAGATCTGCAACCCAGTAATGGCGGCTAAATTTATGCTACAGCGGCACAAAGAGTCGTGAACCTCAGCTGGATGCTTACGTTACCAGCCATCTCCCCATTGTTTTTATCTCCCAAGGTGATAGACAGCTTTCTCGTTGTACATGCTTCTTAACTCTGGAACTAGGCTGCTTGTAAGAATAGTTCGAGTAGTTGAGATGGTAACCGAATTCAAAGACCTATTTACCCTCAAGCTTCGTTTACATACTCTAAATACATAATTTTTTTCTAGGAGGCACCTTCCCCAGTTTCTGGGCTCATGGGCTCCTTATAATGGTACCAACAGCACAAAACTTGTGATGCCAAATCTCCATATCAAACTATGATGGAAATTGGATGCTTGTCACCTCCTACAACCAAGAAATGTCTTCCTTCCTCTATCACCATAAGACCATCTTCATTAGCTCTACTGAAATGCTCACAAGGGCTTAGTTCAAATTCAATTTCTGCTTTTTCCCCTGCACTTAGTATTACACTTTTGAATCCAATCAACTGTTTTCTTGGCCTCCCATTTCCATGTTTTGCATGTCTCACAAATAGCAATATTGGATGCTTACCTGCCATTTCCCCTTGGTTCTCCACTCCAACTCTAACCAAGAATTTGCTTTGCTCGCAGAATTCTGTTCTCATATCAGAAACTACTGCAGTACGAACTGAATCTGAGTCACCAATTATGCGCATTGTTGAAGATTGATTCAAGTAGAGTTTATTTTGGGAGACAGACTTGAGCACATAAGAGTACTTTGAATAACTAAGGCCATAACCAAAGTTGAAAACATTCCGGCCTTTATAGAATCTATATGTCCGGCCAGGATAGCCTGAAGATGAATCCGGCCTCATCCTCATATCTGTCATTGGTACTTTGACGAATTCTTGTGGATACCAGGTCATTGGTAATCTCCCGCCTGCATAGCAATAAGTGACTAACTGTTAGAACAATAAATTTTCAGTTGTAACAGAATATCCATTCTTGCACACTCTTCATAATGACAATAAGTTTACCTGGATTGTGGTCACCAAAGATAATTTCTGCAAGTGCAGTCCCACCAGCTTCACCAGGATAACCAGCCCACAAAATGCTTCCAATGTTCTTATCATATTTAGCAAAAGAAACATCAATTGGACCTCCGGAAAGAAGAACTAGAATAATTGGGTTCTTTGCAGATTTTGCAACATTGGTTATGAGTTCTTGTTGCTTTCCAGGCAGCACCAAATCTGTGCGATCAAGCTCCTCCCTCTCCTGGGTTTGATCCAAACCCATTATGAGTACCACATGATCTACGCCCTTTGATACGTTAACTGCCTTGTCGATGGAAGCTGAAGTACATTGAACTGTATCACAACCCGGATCATAAATAGTGTTTTTAATGTAGTATTGCAATGCTTGCAATGGAGTTACAGATTTGCATGGAGGGCCTGCATAGTTTCCAAGAAGTGTTTGTGCAGAATCGGCATTAGGGCCAATTACAGCAAGGGAAATAGTCTTGGATTTCGAAAGGGGGAGGAGTCTTGCAGAGTTCTTCAAGAGGACAATGCCATTGCGGGCAGCTTCAAGGGCTAGCATCTGGTGCTCCTGGGAGCACACTTGGTCAGGACCAATGTTGCTGAAAGGCTGTTCCATAGGATTTCCATTGAAAAGTCCTAACCTCATTCTTACAGAAAAGAGGTTGTGAAGGGCTCTGTCTATGGCAGATTCAGGCAGTTTTTTCTGCTGCACAGCTGCTTTGGTGTGCTTTTGCAAGTATGATCCGCAGTTAACATCCATGCCTGCAGTTATTTGTAAAAGAAAAATTTAAAAACTATAGTAAAATAACAAGCCGCTCAGTTTGAAAAATTTTTTAAGTCAAATATACTCTGGTGAGCATTTTAAAATCCATCTAATTAAAAATGCTTGTAGAATCCTTCTGAATGCTAGGACTGTTAATGATCTCTAAGTAATTTTTTAGTGTACTCTGTAAGCAAATTGACATAGAATTCTCTTACAGTCTCTAAATATGTTATTTTTTCAACATAATGGATCCATTGGTCATGGGGATGCAATAATGCAAGTTCATTCCAATCCAACTTTGTAATATAACTAGAAAGTACTTTTTCTCAAAAAAAAAAAAAAAAATTTATTCATAGAGGTTGAGACTTTACACAACTCTTACTGGTTACAAGTGCTGCAACTAATAACCAGTCCTTATCCTGCAAGGTTAATAAGATGGTAAATTATCTAAAGCAAGTTCATTTCAGTAATACCCATGAGGAGATTCTACCAATTGTAGATATTCACACAAATTTCATCCTTTTGACAAGGGAGTAAGGGACCAGAAGCAAAACCAGTTCATGAATACTAATGGGAAGCATTAATATTTGCATTAATGCCGACAATCTTAGTCATGATTCATGGCTTCAGCCTCCCATATAAGCATAAGCATCAAATTAAATTATCTTAGAAAAAGGTAAAAGGACAAAAATAATAAGCATCCAAAGAATATAAGAAGAAAGAAACATTAGTCCACTTGGAGGGTTGCTATCATAAGAGTATTATGGACCAATTTACATATTACCATAGACTTTTAATGGAAACCCATGGGCTACTAGTGATGTGTGGACACACAAGATCATAATGATACAAAACATCTATTCATGAATTGGAAAGAATATGGATAGCTAAGGATAAATAAGACAAAAGATCTACCAGTCTAAGGCTAAGCTAGAAACACAAGCACATGTCCCCTTTATGATGTTAGACAAAATAGGATGAAGAGGCAGGTCCCATACCAGCTTTAAGTACATCAACCACAGCATCTTCTGGAGACTTAGCATACCCTTGATTATTGTAGATGATAGAGACCGCATCACAATCAGATGTGATATACCTGATTATTATTGTAATATCATGATAATTAACCAAAAAATTGTTAGATTCCAGAAAAAAGAAAAAGAAAAAACAAACAATTACTGCAACCAAATTCGCCATATATAGCTAAACAGCAAAAAAAATTCAATTGCAGTACAAATGAGGCACTTGTAATACCCATGAAAGCCCCATTGCCCTCTAGCAGTTTTGGAAAGGAGATTGTAATCTGCACAGCTTGGGACTCCATTAACTCTGTTGTAAGCACACATGATCCCACTAGCTTTTCCTTGTTGAACACAACTCTGGAATGGTGGCTGATATGTGTCTGCTAAGTCTTGCATAGTTACCTGATTTAAAAATAAAAATAAAAAAAAAAAAAAAAAAAAAAAAAAAAAAAATCTTTATGATTATGTCATGCTCTCTCTTACAGTTTTGGAAAGGAGATTGTAATCTGCACAGCTTCGGGACTCCTTAACTCTGTTGTAAGCACACATGATCACTAGCTTTCCTTGTTTGAATCACAACTCTGGAACTGGTGGGCTGATATGTGTGTGCTAAGTCTTGCATAGTTTGACCTGATATTAAAATAAAAATAAAAAAAAAAAAAAAAAAAAAAAAAAAACATAAAAAAAAAAAAAAAAAAAAAAAAAAAAAAAAAAAAAAAAACATAACTTATGGTACAGAAATAATTGTTGGCGAAATAAATAAGTTCACCCTTTGAACTTTGTTACTTCAATCTTATGGCATTCCAACTATTTCTTTAACTTATCAATCACTTCAACTTATAAAATTACATTTATAAACATCAACTTCCAACATTATTTTATTGAATATTTCAACTTGCAATTAGATCAATTAAATACCTATTAGATAATTGAAAAATATGAAAATTATTGTTTCAAAATTTATGCTAATCACACATCAAATCAATACTTAATAGAATATAAGCAAAAAAAAATATATATTATTACTGCAAAAAGGTGATTAATATTACCGATATTCATAATTTTTGGGTACAATAACTCTCCCTCAAAATTGAGGTGTCATAAAGTTAAAAATGATAAAATTGAGGGACAGATTTATGTATCTGGCTAACAATTGTTTGCATATATTAGCCCTTAATGCATATGCATTTATTGTTGATTGTTGGATTATAGTTACACAATGCATATTCACACATATAGACACTAGTTGTCATTCCCATAATATGAAAACCAACCAATACAGACAAACAAAAGCATAGAAAAGCTTGTGAACAAGAAAACCTTAAAAGGGACCTGACTATAGAAAGAAAGAAAACACCCATTTTTTGCTTTTTTAGTCATGTTCACTCAACTGACGCAAAATTCAATAGGAAAATTGTTCCTCTAATGCTTCATTATTATGCAATATCCACAAATCCGAATTAACATGAGATCAAAACCACAACAAAGGAAATAAACCAAGTCAATTTTTCAATCAAATATAGTAAGATAAAAAGTTGATAAATTTGAACTAATAACTCAATAAGTGATGAAAGAGTCAAAATGAAAAGGAAATGATATGAAAAAGTGAAAAACTTACACGAGCATCAAAAACAAAGCGATTCACACCCTTCCAATTGTCTAAATCATAAGCAGTGAAATGCTTACAACAAGCAGAAGCTTGAAGATGCCCTTCAAGCTTTCCTCCTTGAAAAGAATCCCCCTGAATTCCTCTAACATATGATACTGCATATTTCCCTGTCACTAAAGGATCCTCTCCAGGCGTCTCTTGCCCTCTCCCCCATCTAGGGTCTCTAAATATGTTAATATTTGGTGCCCAAAATGTCATCCCTGTAGCTTGCCCTGCATTATACACTGCTCGCGCCTCTCTTCCAATCACCTGACCTATGCGATACCATTGGTAGGCATCAAAAGAGGCGGCGGTAAGAATGACCTGAGGAAAGCTAGTTGCGGACTGGATACTGCCCTGAAAATGAATGCCACGACCCACATTGGCAACCCCATGCAATGCTTCGGACCACCACTCATAAGCCGGAATACCGAGTCGTGGAATCGCTGGGGCTGAGCTAACGAGTTGAGAGATCTTCTCGTCTAATGTAAGCCTAGAAACAAGGTCTCTGACTCTTTGGCTGATGGGTAATGTAGTTTTGCAGAAAAGGTAGGAGCCTGTTGATGGGTTTGATGGATCACACGAGAATGGAGGCTGAGTTGAGGCAACTCTGAGGATTAGTAAAGCGAAGATAGTAAAGGTGAAGTAAGAGAGCTGTTGGACTCTCATTTTGCTAATGGTGTTGAAGAGACAAACGAGCCAGTGAGTGTAAAGCTGCAGAGGATATATAATTTATGGAGGTAAAGTTCAGTAGTAGCTGTAGCTCATTGCTTAAATGCTGTTTGGTCGATCATTGGTATTTGTCTTGAAATTACAGATTTCACCTTGTGAGAAATGTTTTTATTTAACTGTTGGTTATGGATGAAGTAACCAGTTCCATTTTTAATTCAAAAAAAAAAAAAAAAGCAGTAATGAAGAGAAAAATAAAATATAGAACTGTTTTAGTTTATTTTGAGGCCCAAGTTTGTGAATTGGTTGGGTTCAAGTTCTAAACCTTTTGTGAATTGGTTTTGACCAGGGATGCATAAAAAAATTAATTGAATTGGGTCCGGCCCAGCCCCCAAAACTAGTTGCTGGTATGTCCAGTTTTGGTTGGGATCAAGATTCAAGAACCTCTTTTTTGTTAAAGATCTTCTACACAAGAATGATGCAATTTCTTATAAACTATAAAATTATCTTTTATCCCTTTTATATTATAGCTTTTTAATAGTAAGCTTATCAATAATCAACTCTAAGCTACTTGTAATAATAATAACAGTAATTATAATCAATAGAGGTGAAAACTATAATTACGAATATGACATAAATTATAATTTACAATTATAAATTAAAAATTGAGAAGTTGAAACTTCAAATTTAAAACCCAACAACCTTAAAACATCAATCTTATGTCATTGTTCGACCTGCTAAGTCCTCGTTTACTCGAAGCTATTTCTACTTGTTTCTTAATTAGTCAATAGTGATAATAAACTAACTTATCCGATGCTTACCTTCTCCCTATAAACTTAAAACTATTGGATTGTCGGCAATTAACTTTTAAAAGTAATCTGTTACTTCATTTTATAATGTATACGTGTTGATCATCGAGTAGATTTCAAAACCTTTGATTTTTTTTATTTTTTTTTTTTAAATTCCCATTTCTGCAAGAAGTGGATAGTCAGTTTTTGACTAACTCACGTAGAGTTAGAATATCTGAACAGTTTATGTGGCCAAATCAAATGACAGTTAGAGGGGAAAATATGCAAGTTCTCCTTCAAATTGTTAAACAAACCCAACTACCTTTCCATTATCCATTGAGTGATTTTATTTATTTCTTTTATTTATTTTGATTTATCTGAAAGGTAGTTGAACATGGATTGCTTGGTACAAGTCCTTCCATAGCATATTATAAATTAATCAGAAAAAGAATACTATGTTTTTTTTTTTTTTTTTTTTTTTTTCTACGCTGTCCATATCAACATAAGTAGAATATGAGTTAATTTCTATTATTTATTTTGATTTATTCTGAAAAGGTAGTTGAAGATAGGATTGCTATGGTACAGAGTCCTTCCATAAGCAAGTTAGTATAATTAATCCAGAAAAATGAATACATGTTTTTTTTTTTTTTTCTATTATACTTTAGGGCTGAGAATTGCTACTATATTTTTATATATAGAAAATACAGAAAAAGATAATGTGGGAAGATCAGAAGAAGGCAGGCAGCTGATGTAATTATTGGACAAAATTGAGTAAGAAAAAAATTTTTTTTTCTTTTATTTTTTTTTTTTTTTTTTTTTTTTTTTGTGGCTGAGCAATTGCTACTATTTTATATATAAAAAAGATAATGTGGGAAGATCAGAAGAAGGCAGGCAAGCTTGATGTATTTTGACAAAATTTTGATTAATGAAAATTATATATTTAATTATTCTTGTGATTGTGACATCCCTTTTAATTTAAAAGTTTAATTATTTTTATTATTAAAAGAAAATTTAGAAAACCCTTTAAATCCATTAATTAACAATATAATACTCATAACTGAAAGTCCGATTAAAAATTGAAAAATAACAGTAGTTAAGAGTTTATAATTACTGTTAACAGGTATTTTGTAATTAGGCTTTCGCAATACTCGTAGTTTTTTTTTTTTTCAGCGACTGACTTTGCAGTGGACAAGAAAAACAAAGTGAATGGCTTGTGGTTTTACTTATTTGCTTCCGTACGATTTTTCCCAAGCCCAATCCAACGGCTCAAGCAAAATCTCTGCAGCCGAGACGGTAATGACTCTTTGGAAAGAGAAGCTTGACTACAGTCAGCAGTCAGCACTTCGAGTTCATTGCAGTTTGCAGAATTTGAAGAGAAGAAGAAGACTATAATAAAAGGCCCCAGCCTCTGTATATCAGACCACAACCAACCTTACTGATAGAGAGGCGGTTTTTGTGTTATTTTAGTTATTTGTATATTTTTTTAAAATAATTTAATAATATTATTAAAATATGAAATATCAACCATCTTCTAGTTAATATAAATTCCAAGATATATAAGTTAATTTTTATTTTATTTTTTCTTTTTCACATAACTTGTTAGAATATAACTCTATGGCAATGAAAATGAAATATTGTCCAATAGTTTTGTGATTACAAATATTTTTATACCGATTTAAAAACCCCACAGATAGCTAAACAGTGAAAGAGACAAGAATTGGCTCTATGCTCCCTTTTTTTTTTAAAAAAAAAAGAAAAAAAAAACAAATATGGATACTAATTTTTGTAATTTTCATCTGAAAGTGACAATGTTGAATTATTATGTATTCGGTTCCAGCTTTTGAAATTTCCTTTCAAAGAATTAAAAAGAGAAGAAAAAGATTTTTCAATGTTGAAGTATTTTATGGAAAATATTCTTCAAAAGTTTCCTTTTTACCGCTTACTGTTTTTGAAAAACTGTGAAAATTCTTATACGAAAGATTAATTAGAGTTTAATTTAAAAATTTTGTTTGATTTTAATTAGAGTTTAATTTCACTAACAAATAAATTTATTTATTTTATTTTTTAATACAATAAAAAATATCCATTTCACTTGTGAAAAATTATAAATTTATTTATATTAAAAAAGGTTAAAGAATGATGCGATATAATTGAAACCAACGGGATTATAGTAAAGTTGAGGATGGCCAAACGATCACATCAATGATAGATCAGTGATCCGGCCGTTAAAGACCGTCATTTGACTAATTGGTTACTAATTACTTTAGAATGCAAAAGTAATTATTACAATTATCACCAAAGCCATCCAAAGTATATTGATTATTCACTGGTGGTAGAAACTTTGTTCTTCCTTTTCTTTCTTTTATCTTCTTAGAAATGCATTTGACAACTTTATGGTTGAATCTTATCTTCTTATATAGCACTAAAGATGTCTGTCAATCATCATGAAAAAGTGGAAAGTGCAAATATATAATAAAATAGCTAAAAAAAAAAAATCAAATTGCTTATCTTATATTGTATGTTATTTTATCCGTTCTCAAATATTTATCACATTTAAATATTTTGTGTCATTTAGAAAATAATTAATTTATTTAAATTAAAATAAATTATTGAGTGAATTGGTTAAATTATTTTTAATTTATCTAAATTACAATAAATATTAAACAATTAAGATACTATTAATTATATATAAAAGTAAAAGAAAAAAAATTATTATCTATAAAATCTACAATAAAGATAAGTATTTAAAAATATTGTATCTTCTCGTATGTGACAAATTTTTGGGAATCGACGGAGCAATTTATTTAAAGTTTCATGCAGAAGTTGACAAGAATAAAACCATTAAAACATGTAATTATTGCATTATCTAACTCCATTAAGAAAAAGAACGAATAATATGTATTAGAAGGTATGAGTACAAGCATCTCTTTCATTATCAAAATTATTGCACTACGCTTTTGGAATTATCATGAGATGTGATGTGGGATTTTTTTAAAAAAAGAAAATATCTACTCTCTCTCTCTCTGTATATATATATATATATATATATATACACACACACGAGAAATGCTATTTATGTAACGCGAATTTTCATTCACTTAAGTACATTTACAAATGTATCGCTTAATGGATTTAGACTAAAAGAATAGGTGAAAGTGCAAGATTTGACTACAGAGAGAAAAAAAAACAACGATTGCTACTATACAAATATCAATGGATGGACTGATTTTAAAAATAGTTTTTCCGTCAATTAATATATTGAAGACAGTAGAGACATTTTGTACTATTCCGGTTGAGATTGCTAGAGATATGAGACCATCGGTATACGAATTAAATAGATATTTTTTATGCCTATTTTATACTTTTTTTATTAAATAAATGATTAAAAATATTCTATTTTTCATTTATTACCATCTGTTTCTCTCGTTTATAATTCATTTGATTTATAAATATGGTAATCCATCACACTTGTTTTTCCAGATGTAATAAAAAATATGATAAAATATCTATATAAGATCAAATGTTCATAAAAAAAAAAAAACACTTATGAAAAATGATGGTCGGAAATTAACTTTATACAATATATATATATAACCGTAACTTTAAAAAATAGATGATATTATGCATAGATTTATGCACGGGGAAAATGAAATTCCGGAGTAGGAAACAGGTAGGATACTATAGTGAGTTGGGCACTCGATGAAAACTTGAGATGCAACTAATAACTCGCCACTTAACCCAAAATTATACGCTCTTCTGTTTGTATTTTGCCGCTAAAAAAACAATCAGACAAAAGAGTTGCACTTGCACAGTTTCAGATTTTCAACTGTATATAAGAATGAAGCTTAATTTCACTCTTTAAGTTTATTTAAAATGGTTTAAATAGTTAATTATAGAGTTTATTATATATGGAATCCAACGTGTTTTACATGTTAAGCAAATTAAAATTATACCACATATTTTATGAATTTAATATGCGTTTGTAAGAAATGATGTTTTTTTTATGAATTTTAAATTTTTATTTAGAAATATTGAACAACTTTAATTTAACTATTTTTAATGTAGAATAAAATAAATAAAGTTAATTCTGTAGAATTGAATATATTCATTAATTTGCCAAAAATTAAATATAATATTTTTAATCTTATTAAATAAGTTTGGCACAAAAGAAGGGACCACAATTGTATCCATTTAATGCTAACTTTAATTTGTCATCATAACCAATTTTTTCATTGAAGTGTGACTTTCTCGTCGTTTAGCTGAAATCTAGAGAGCTCTTCACTTTTGTCCTCTGT